TGTCCCAAAGACAACACATTCAACAGTGCACAGACATCATCAGCAAGTCAAAACTGAGCCTGAAAAGCATTTGATTCAGTTTTAAGAACATACATAACCTTTAAAAATTGTTACAAGACTAATTTTTTGACAAAGCAAAGAGTGAGTGGTATTGTTGTTTGTAACAACCAAGCATCTCTAGAATTAGAAGCAACTGGCATGCAAACAAGCATACAACAAGCAGATAGAGTTGACTCACTTTTGGAAAGCATCTAGAGATTCATTGCTTTCTCAGCTACCAGAAACTGAGGACTGAAGTGTGTGTGATATTCGAGCTGTAAGCTGTAAGTTAGAATCTATTCTTTGTGATGAGTACTCTAAAATAAACAAAGCATACTTGCCTCGAGAGCATCTAAAAACCTCTTTAGAAGTGGCAACAACTGGTTGTCCATCAAATTTTCAATACACTAATAAAGTGTCATTTTCCACATTACATTTTTGAGTTTTCAGAAATTTTTGTACTTAAAAAGAAGCTGAATTAAGAAAAAAACAGGAAGGAAAAAATGTCTAAAATGCAAAAAAACAACAACAAAAAAAGTAAAATGGTTTATTCCTGGTATTTAAAAATCCTATTAAATTTTGGCCAGCCTCTTTAAATTCAAATGACAGAAAATAGATCATAATAAAAGCTGAATATTGAGATTGAGATCTAGTAATTAAAACAGCATAGAAAACCCAAAACTGTGAAAGAACAGTGTGTAGAAAAATTCAAAACTGTGAAGTAATGACAATTTCCATATTCTCTGCAGAGAAAGGATTGCATGTCAGCAAAAAAATAATAAGATGGCAAAATACATACTGAGAATATAAAGCAATATCAAGGACATGCTCATTGCATAAAGATTGCCAACTGGGAACAGTGAATGAATAGAGAAAAACAGTATGTCTAGTTATTACAGACTGTGTCACAGGTATGTAAATAGAAATAGATACGCGTTGGTGTTAGATGGGCAACTTTAAACCTGTCACTTCTTGGATGAGCTAGTCGATCTTACAGAGTTGACTTTATCTGATTGAAACAAGTGCCTGAGATGCACGAGGTGATTTGGGAAGGCTGTGTTTGAAACACAATGCTCAGCTCGGCAGTCTTGCCTTGTGTGGAAGCAGTGCTGAACTCAGTCACAGCCTGTGAGCAAACAGCCAGTGGAACTGAGCCTTTGGTGCAATCATTTTTGAACGAGATGCACCCAACTGTTTGTTTAGGCAGCACTAGCTGGGAAGTACTGCTGGTAGGAGCTCCAAGTTGTATTTATACATACCTGCCAATACCTCTCATTACCTGCTGACTTGCATTTACCCCTAAGGCAGATTGATGATGTGGTTTTGTGCATACAGTTCTATTACTGCATTTGAAAAACGTAAATAAGTAGAATTGAACCTGTGAGAAAAGGGAACAGCAACAGTTTATAACTGTATGGCAAAATGTTTACAGACCTATATAAATAGAAAATTCACTCCTTAGCTATTGAAACACTTTTTTTCTGACCTTTTAAGTAAGAAAAGTATTTTTCCTATATAATTAATAATAACCCATACGATCTCTGTGTGGGTACCACATAACAGATTCATCACAGATATTTTTTCTCAAGGTCATTTTTCAGTTTTTTTTTCCCTATTTTATTTTTAAGGGATTTTCCATGCTATGTAAAACACTTAAATCCCTGAAATCTGAATCAATCCAGGAAAATCTATGTGAGTAAGGACTGGCAGAGTTTGGGTTGATTGAGTGGCATGCAGCACAGCACTGCTTTTAAAGGTCAGTGATCAAGGGGCAGCGTGTTTTTTTAAATTCAACCCTCTCAGTAAATAATATAAGGAAAATTATGTCTGGGATCAGGAGATGGAACAGCTGCTGCCTTCTCTTGTTGATATTCATCAAGCCTTATTTGCCATTTCAGCAAACCTGATGTTGGACAACTTAATGGACAAGGAATGGCAACTCTTTCCTAGTTCTGTGATTCAAACCAAAATCATTACTGCTTCAAGTTGGGGCACCACATGCAGACCTTTATTTTGCTCCTGAGAGCTGGTAAACTTAGGAGGAGCTGGTATAAATGTTCATTGTTCCATCGGAAAAAACCCTGCATGTTGGACAGAATTTGACAAGACAATTGTCTAACAGTAAAGGGAGTTGAACAGAGACTGCCAGAGGCAAACTACGTAAATCGGATCTCTTACACCCTGCCATACCTCCCTAAGTGGGATTTACAGCAGAAACAACATAAATCCAACAGCCTTTTTTTCCCAAGCTGTTAAGATATGCTATCTAATTTCATCTTAGTACATATACATATTCACAGCAAAAGCTCATTTATAGACTTGCCTTAAATAGGAAGCTGAGATTTAAAGTTCATGTGGCTCATTTATTTAATGCAAGTCAGTTTGCACAGCCTAACTTTACAGTCTATACCAGGACATTGCAAGAGCGTAGCCAACAGTTTGGGAAGTGACTAGTTCCCTCTATTTATCAGCTGTGAGACCACATCTGTGGGCACAGCTGGGTTCAGTTTGGGGCTCCTAGTGCTGGAAAGACATTGGTAGGCTGGAGTGAGTGCAACAAAGAGACACCAAGATGACTGAGGCTGAGTTGCACAACAACCAAAGTGGTGTTGAGGGAACTGAGTTTTGTTCAGCCTCAAAGAAGCCAAAGCTGAATGGAATTCTAACTACTGTTCACAGATACTGGGAGGAACATAGGGCTAGGACAAGATGCATTTAGAACAAGCTGGAATGTGGGAAAGTCTGACTTGATTAAAAAAAATTGTCTTTGAGAATTGTTGGCAGGATGGCCTCCCCATTGAGGGCAGTATCTGTCACTCAGAGATACTCAAAACTCTCCTGGAGAGGAGGCATAGCCTGGCACAACCGGCTGCATCTAGACTTGATTTGATAAGGCTGGACGTGAAGATTTTTGGAAGTTCCACCCAACACATGGTTCCACAATTCAATGACTCATGGTTTATCATGGTTTTTGGGATGGAAATTTGAGTGCACACAAAGCAAAGTATCCGCAGTTGCTTTGGAGGTGTTCACCAAGCAGCTCATTTCATACTGAACAGCCCATTTGCTCCTTGACTCCTTCTGCCCTTGATGTTGGTGTTTTCATGGCTTTTGGTTCAAGGCGGTGTTTATGGGGCCATTAAACTCCAGTCTTCTACAAGCAATTAAAAAAGCTGTTTTTTATTAGAAATGCATATCCATTTAACATTTCAGTTGTGGCTGAACCCAGAATTGCCTTGTCACAGGGAATAATGCCTCTTTCTCTAGCATGGGAAGCCAGCCCTTACCAGCAAAACAACCACTAGGAAATTGCGCTTCTTGACTTCTTCCAGGAATCCAGAAGTGTAAGTAAGGAACAGCCTTCCCTTAGCTATGGAATCCAGAGCTGGGCAGATTATAAAGGTTTGTAGCATTACCCTCCAAGACCCTCACTGTACCCTCCAAGACATTAGAAGTAGTCTAAGTTAGAAATGTTAAGTTAGAAGGAATGTGCAGAGTAGGGGAAAACAGAAACACTCCTGAAATCAGTGGCAGGCCACTGCTGACTGCCTGTCAGAGAAGGAAAGGATTGCAGGCTGTCACGGCCATGTATTATACAAGTGCTGTAATTACTAAAACTCATGGCATGCATTTATATCTGTTGAGAGATCAAAAAATAAATCCTACAATTGGATTGACTTGGGAAATGAATAAACAGGGGTAGGAGAATTGAAACTCCTGGCTCTTTATTTAGTCATCAAAGAAATCTATTTTGCAATAAGCTAGGGGCATTCCATTAACAGTCTCAGAAGTGCTGAAGGACTAAGAGCAAGGCCCTTCCTGAAGAGATAGCCTGAATTAGTAAAGATCCAAGGGGGTTCTCAGGACATGTTTTGAATTTCAAAAACAAGTCTAAATCACTGAAGTTACTCCTTGATGCTCCCTTAACATTCTCTGCTGTAGATAAGGGCATATTATTTATTGAGCATTACCTTTGACAAGGGAAGTGCTTTTGTACCGAGTTTCCTTTCGAAGAAAAAGAGGACAGAAAAGGGAAGATAATGTTGCTGATCCCTGAAACCACCTTAAGTATGAATGCAAATTTACCAAAGTTACAGGAAGTAAAGGAGTATTCCTATTCGGGAGAACAGCTTCTGCAAGGTTTGGGAAGAAAATTGTTTAAGTATCAGTGCTATCAGCCATAGAGAAAACAAAGTCTCCTAGTTCCTATTTTTGGGAAATACAACCAGGGCTGAAGCACGTTTTGGTAAATCAGGTCCCCCAGATATGCACTGAGACAGTTCCTTGAATCTCTCAGCTGGACCCTACCAGCGGCACAGCAATGCTGCCTGGCACTAGTCCTCTGTCAAGCCGGCTGGCAGGAGAGCTGTTTTGAAAGGTTATTGGTATAGAACCAAATAAAAGCAGCAGCTGTTGTCTTTACCTTTCCAGCCTTGTAAATAAATATGAAATATTTTATTTTGCTCTTGACAGAACATGTAAATGCTTTATTCATCCTCACACCTGCTCTGGCAACAGCCACATCTGAGGATCAGAAAATCTGTGCAAGCTGCGGCGCTTGTAAGCAAGGATTTCCGCAGTTGTTCGGAGCAAAGGCATCCCCTTTATGCTGCCCCAGAAGGCATCTCAGGCACTGGGAAAGCTAGGAAGCAGGCTCGGGTGTGCGGCACGTACACCGGCTCGGGTCTGGCACGACTCCCTCTTTCTCCAAATCCCGGTTTGAGGCCGGCAGCGCTGCCGCCGCTGGCTCCCGATCGTGGGTCAGCCGGCACATCCCGATCGTGGGGCGGCCGGCACATCCCGAGCTTGGGGCGGCCGGCGCATCCCGAGCTTGGGTCAGCCGGCACATCCTTATCGTGGGGCGGCCGGCGCATCCCGAGCGCGCTGCCCGCATCCTTCCCCGCTCCCGGAGCCCGGAGCCCGGCGGGCGGAGCCGGCGCCGCGCCCCGCCCGTGCCGCCCTCCCGGCGTGCGGGGGCCGCCGCCGCCGCCTCCAAACTTTGTACGGGGCGAGCGGCGCTGCGGGCCCGCCGCCCGGGAGGGGAGAGCGGCGGGACCCGAGCCGGGCGGCGGAGCGAGGGGCTCCGCTCCCTGCCCTGCCCTGCCCTGGCACAGCGGCTCCTGGGGCAGCAGCCGGCCGTGCCTCGCTCTCCCGGTGGGGCGAGAGGAAGGTAAGAACGGGAAGGGGGCACGGAGCGGCGCTCCCGGCACGGTGGGAACCCCGCAGCGCCCGGGCACGGGTGTCTGCCCCCGGGATGGGTGTCTGTCTCCGGGATGGGTGTCTGCCCCCTGCCCGGGATGGGTATCTCTCCCCCGGGATGCGTGTCTCTCCCCCGGGATGGGTGTCTCCCCCCGGGATGGGTGTCTCCCCCCCAGGATGGGTGTCTGCCCCAGGGATGGGTGTCTCCCCCCCAGGATGGGTGTCTGCCCCAGGGATGGGTGTCTGCCCCCGGGATGGGTATCTCCCCCCCGGGATGGGTGTCTCGCCCCGGGATGGGTGTCTGCCCCCTGGAATAGCGCACCGGGGGGCGGCAGGGAAGCGGCGCCGCATCCCAGAGGCGCCTTTGCTGCCAGCTGCGCCTCCGGCAACCCCAGCCCCTTCCCCAGCGCAGGCACTGCGGTCCTGATGGGAATGCTGCTTGCTAATGTAATCACGTATCCTGCCCTTTTTGCTTACTTGGTGTCAGAACCCGTGTAAATCCTCTTTGGGCCTTTCTCGACCGAAAGTTAGACGCAATTTGATGCCTGACCATGAGGATCTGGCTGCTGGGAGGGAAAAAATTGGGAAAAAAGCCCCGGTGTGGTGCAGTATGCAAGGTGTGCCTGTAAATGCTATCACCTGGAGAGTTTATCCCAAAAAAAGAGCAGGAAGTGTCCTGTCAAACACTACCTGGAGTGTCACCTCGGTTTTATCCCCATTTTTTGAAAGCAGCTGATATTTTGCCCACATAACTGTCCTACAGACCATGTCAAACTTGTCCTGTTTATTTCATCGCTTGGTGATACACGAGCTAATTTCTGTTTTAAAGTGTGGTTGTCCTTTCTTTCTCCCTCAGCTTTGTCATATTGACAAGACCAAAGCATCTTTCATCAGCCTGGATAGGGCAGTAACAAATAAAGTAAAAGTGTCAGAGCAAGACAGGGCATTGCTAAAAAGGAGTTGCAAGAAGGAATCAACAGAAAGTCAGGGACTAGAGAAATGGGTGAAACTACTTTTGGGAAGAAAGGGAAGCTATGTTTTTTGGCTGAGCTACATCCTTCTGCCTGGATTTAGGGCAAAGAAGGGAAAGAATTTATATTTCTCAGCCCTCACACCTTTCTACTTCTGTGTAGACATTACCTGCGCTGAAAGAAAAAAAAAAAGATATTTTGAAGCATCTGACAGTCCTGGGACCTCACCAAATCTCTACTGTAATAGTGTATAGAAGAGTAATTCCTAGGTGTAGGAATGGGTCAAAGGAAAGTGCTCATCATAGTTCTCAACTTCTGCATAGCCTTGACTGTACAAATTGTGGTGGATCTTTACATTTTTAACCTGGTGGACTAAAGGTGTATTGATAAGGAAACCCTTTCTGACATCCATTGCTTAGGCTAGTAGGTGAACACTGATTATACTGCTAAAATCAGCGGTGTACATTAGTATGAGCAGCTGGCATATCTCAGCTACGTGTCTTGTGGTGTTTCACCTCTCAGGCTTACACTATTAATTGCTGAATAAATGTAGACTAAACAGTATGGCATAATTCTGACCTGTTTAGTTGGGGAGAAATGCCTTTCAGTTCATGCAGTCGATCTGCTCATTTTGCAAAAATAGCTTGCCCTGAGAAAATCTTTGGGATGTTGTGTGGGATAGAAGCAAGCAAAAAGGGCTCAGTCTCCTGCTGGTAGACAACCCTCCTTTCTCAATTTGAAAACCATACTGAAGGATGTCACTCGCTGATAGCTACTGGGAACAGAGGTAGGGATGAAAATGGACCTCTGTTCCTCTGAAATGTTTCTCTGAGGATGGAAGGAATTAAATGGAGCTGATGAAAAAAGAACAAGAATTTTTTAAGAACCATGTTCATCCAAACACATCAATAGCTGTTTCTTTAGGCAGACTTGAATTTGGGGAGGGTTAAGCTATGTGTAACACTCAATGGCAAGAAAGTGACATTTCTTTTCTATGCTTGCTTTCCTTAGGGAAGGTAATGAACGGGGAAGTAGAGTGAGTAACTCAGGGTTGCCGTTCCCCTGGGTGGTGAACAGTGGTGTTATATTGGTAAGTTTGCTTGGCAGTGTTAATTTCTTATTATTTTCCCAGGCCAGAGAAAGAAGTCCCCATGTTCTTGGATCTTGGTTAGCATGCCACCCATGCTCTGGGCAGTTTTCATGGGGACGTGTACTTTTCTACATTGGTCTGAAGTCCGAGTCAGAAACTGATTGTAAACCATCCATATATTGTGCCTACCAAAGTCTTAGGGTAGCACCGAATTTGGCTCAGCCTGTGTAAGGAAGGAAAAAAAAATAGTGATTTTTATGCCAGTGGTGAAATTCTTACTGACTTCAGCAGGGGAATGATTTGCTCTTCGCTATGACTGCAGTCAGAAATGAATGCCTGATTGGCAGCCTCCAAGGAGCTCTGTTTTCTGAAACATCACACAGAAAGGAAATATCATGTATAACTGTGTTTCAATTGTTTCTTGAATTGATTTCAGCATGAATAAGTTATGTAGTCATTTCAAAGAAATGCTATTATTTCCATTCTATTTCATTGGTATTTTTATTTGCCTCATGGTACAAACTATTGTAAAAAAAGTTTCTTAAAGAAAGACCCCAGCAATTAGTTCACTGATGTTAAGGAAGGGCATAAACCTGTAAGAATTTAGTAACTATTTAAAGGAAACACTTTTCATTAAGGAAAAGCTGGAAGATTATTATGCTAATCACAGTCTGGATGGTGCTGTTCCATGTAGAATTCCCATAGATATTACTGGAAGATTTGTGCTAAATAAGCACTAGTTTTAGGTGGTGGGTTGTAAAAAAAATTATATGCTGCCCAGCAGGATCTTAATCCTTCTGCATTTACTTAGGCAAACTTTGTCTTTGGAATGCTTATGAAATCTGTTCCAATTTTCAGCAGGAGTCATGCCTAAATAATATTACTGGATCAGTCTTCAAAATGTAAGGGCAAGAGAATTTAAATATATTAAGACAGATCTTCTCTTAATCCTGCAATGTAGTGTGTGGGTTAGGAAAGAGATGTAGATTTACCTCTTTGCTTCTTGTCTTAGCCCATGTGGACCAATTTCTCCACTTGTTCTTGTACTGTTTTGTTTCCAGGGGCAGCTCTGTGGCTTAGACCAGGCTGCTGAAAGGATGGGGCCCCTGGAAGCAGTAGGTGAGGACAACCAGACAGATGAAATGAAAATGGAGCTGTTCACTAAGCTGTACTTGACAAGATACACCACACCACTCAACGAATTGGCTCTGGACCCTAAACCAGAACTGAAGGACAGCACAACACTTGTTGAAGTGCAGATAATTCTTATCTTTGCTTATTGCTCCATCATCCTGCTGGGAGTGATCGGAAACTCCCTCGTGATCCACGTGATCATCAAGTTCAAAAGCATGCGCACAGTGACTAACTTCTTCATTGCCAACCTGGCAGTGGCTGACCTGCTGGTGAACACGCTGTGCCTGCCCTTCACTTTGGTTTATACGCTCTTGGGTGAGTGGAAGCTGGGCCCAGTCTTGTGCCACCTGGTGCCTTACGCCCAGGCCCTTGCTGTCCACGTGTCTACTGTCACTCTGACTGTGATCGCTCTGGATCGTCACCGCTGCATCGTCTACCACCTGGAAAGCAGAATCTCTAAGCGGATCAGCTTCCTGATTATAGGAGTTGCCTGGGCAGTCAGTGCCCTGTTGGCAAGTCCTCTGGCCATCTTCCGTGAGTACTCGTTGATTGAGATCATTCCTGACTTCAAGATTGTGGTCTGCTCTGAGAAGTGGCCAGGGGAGGGGCAGCTCAACTATGGCACTATCTACAGCATCTCCATGCTCCTGATCCAGTATGTTCTGCCTCTGGCAGTCATCTCCTATGCCTACATCCGTATTTGGACCAAGCTCAAGAACCACGTTAGCCCCGGGGCGGGGAATGACCACTATCACCATCGGCGCCGGAAAACCACCAAGATGCTGGTGTGCGTGGTTGTGGTGTTTGCTGTCAGCTGGCTGCCCTTTCACACCTTCCAGCTGGTCAGTGACATTGACAGTCAGGTGTTAGACCTGAAAGAGTACAAACTGATCTACACGGTGTTCCATGTCATTGCCATGTGCTCCACGTTTGCCAACCCCCTCCTCTATGGCTGGATGAATAACAACTACAGGACGGCCTTCCTCACGGCCTTCCAGTGTGAGCAGCGGCTGGACTCCATCCACCCCGAAGTATCAGCAGCTTTCAAAGCCAGGAAGAAACTAGAAGCCAAGAGGATTCAGTTCCCTGGGGACTCTTTCACACAGCCTACCAATGTCTAAGATGTCTGACTGTAAAGAAGAAATGTTGTGGGAAAAGGGATGAACCCATTTTGGTACATGCATTTTCAATGCGTAGTTTTATTCATAAATGGTGAAAGAACAGTAGCAGGGAAGTCAAGGCAGGTGTTATGATTTGAGGGGAGTTGATTGATATCAAGAGTATGTAAATATACAACTGCAAGGAAGTAAAAGGGAGAGGCTTAGTTTATGGCTGTCTCTAACAGGGTAAATAAAAACTCTTCCATCCCTCCCATCTTCTTGTCAAGTCTAAATGACAAGTGCAGGGTTTGCTGGTTTTGCTGGAGGAAGGCAAATGACTGATTTGTAGGATAGGAATATTGGTTGTGGGAGTGGGTAGTTTTTATATTTGATGTGAAAATCAAGAAATGCAGAAGTCTGCCAGGAGAAAGAAACATGTCTGGTGGGGGAATCAGCTGTGTTGGTTAAATTTCAAACTTTTCAGGCCCCTTCTCTCCTACAGGCATCTTTTGCAAAGACAAGGGAATCAAGAAGACAAATACGTTACTTATTTTTTGACTTGTGCTAGACTATTTCAAGCCAGAGCATTTGAAATAGATTAGGTGATGAAAACAGAAGAGAAAAGAAAAACAAAACCCACCCAAATACTGGATTCAGTGAGAGGAAAGGTCAAGTTTCTACATAAAATGGAATGTGGGTTTTGGCCAATCAAATGGGATAAAAGGCATCCCTTAAGAATTGGCGTTTATGCTGGTGAGCAAATCACGAGCCTGTGACTTGAACAGTCATTCCCTGCAGATTCCTGCCTTTCATTCTGCTCTGGGAACAGCTCACAAATGCAGTGCTTCAAAGTGGCATTTGAGGGCAGGGAATGCAGGCTCAGGTCTTCTGTGAGCACTTCATAAACTGCTAATATTTTCATTTTCAGGACCTGCTTAAATGTCTAATGTGTTATTAGCTCCACAGGCTTTGAATTGTTGTTGCTTCTGCCTGGATAATAAAACAGCAGATAATTCTGATCCTCTGGAAAGGCTGCTAGATGGTAAAGTGCTTTTCCTTTTTGTGGTTTTATGTCACATACTCATCTCGTCTTGGAGCTTTTTCCATCTTTAGCCTTTGTGAAAATTAAGAACATCTGAATGACTGTAACCTAATAACAGTATGCTATGTTTATGTGATAACTTATCAGTTATTCTGCATGCTGTAGTTAATAGTTAAATTCCTTTTTTGCTCAGGTATAAAATTTTAATCTGTTTACCGTGTTGTACACAGCAATGTTCAACTTTCTATGTCTTTGTTAAGCCTCTTTGAACTCATTAAAGAGATGAAGAAAATTTCAATCTATGTTTATTCCCAGCTGCCCTGTTGCTTATCTAGAATAAAAACAAGTGTGATATTTTCACTTGAAGTCTAGTTTGATGGCTACATTTCAGCAGCCTCATTTTTTTCCTTTGCATTTTTTGTTGTTCCTAAGTTCATTATGTTCTCTCTTACAAATTAAAACCCAATGAAACTCCAGTGCTGAAATGTTTGCAATGTAATGAATGGTATCAAGTGGAGAAATTCATCTTTGTGTATTTGGTATTTGACACCATCCTTTAAATATCCATGAAATCATTTGGACTTGGATTTTCATGAGCAGAAAAGGGAGGTCTAGAGAATTAGCTAGTGTTTACTCAAGCAGAAAAAAGTATCCATCATTCTTAAACAGTTTTACAAAAATAGATTAATTCTCCACTGTGTTCAGGACATGCTATTGCCCACAAGTTATTTTTGTCTGAATATTAATAATATCCAAAATGTAAAACTCTTACGGGTGAGGAAGGATTATAGAAGTGTGCAATTATTATGGACATCAATCACACGTATCACTTGACTCTGAACCCTTCATCAAAAGTATTATTACTACAAATAGCCTCATTTATTTAAAACGCAAATGATTTAAAAGTTCTGTTTCAACTCCTTTAAGCCTGTTAGAGTGTGGTATATAGACAGTTTTGAAGTAACCATGACAGTGTGTGCAAAATCTACAATTGCCAGACTAATTCTCTGTAATTTTAAGTCTGCTTTACATCAACCTGTATAAGAGCAATTAATTACAAATAATCTTTCCGTTTACTTCATGGTATCTTTATTTTATGGCTTCCTGAGCTTTCTCTGCAGCCATCATGCTGAGCCAGAAGTGGTGCACTAATTTACTGCATGGCTTTCCTCTCTGCCTTGTGGAGGTGCTGCCTTGGTCAGTGCCTGCTTTAGGGTAACAAACCCACGCACAGTGTCCCACTGCAAGGTGTGGATTTTCCCACTGGCACTTGAAGAGGGCATGTGGAAGAGCCAGCACTGACTTGTGCCTCTTGCATGGCTTAGTCACTCCTGGGACTTGGCTCCTGCACAAGCACAGCTACACACTTTAGTACCCATCACTAGGGATGTTTCTAGGAAAACACAGCATTTTCACATCATCAAAAGCAATGATGTAGCAATATCACTTGGGTTTGACCCAATTCCCAGCTGTCAGAAGGATCTGGAAACTCAGGGTTCATCCCCATTTCCCTGTAAAGGAAAGTGAACCTGTAAGCAATATCTGACCACAGGACTGAGAAGTCTGCAAAACCCTCTGTTTTGCCTGAAATGGGAACCAAGAATTATATTTTTAAGGCATTATATTCTTTTCCTGTTGCTTAGGTACAAGTTTTATACAAAACCAAAGAATAACAGCAGCATCCACCCATTGCATAATTTGCTAGTGGGCAGCAGGGCATCCCATCCAAAAGGAAATATCATCAATGGTCCAGAGCAACAATTTGAACTAATGTACCTCAGTTCTCATCAGTATGACCTAGCCAGCACACTGCAGCCTATCCTCAGGCAGCAAAGTATGTCTTTTAAGAGCTGTTCTATTGTTCAGTTAAACACTGAATATCATGCTTTTATGGGCAGGAACTTATGACCTTTGCATGGCACTCAGGTTCAGGCACAAGGATATCAGAACAGACACAGACAACTTAGGTTAGGCCTCCTCCCTCATTCTCCATGAGTACATCTATTATAAAAATATTGCAGCACAGACAGGATGAGCTCACTGGGACTAGTGCCATGCTGATCTTTGACATTATAGAAATGAGACCTATCCACCACATAGATGCCATCAGATGTGATGTAGGATCCTAGCGGGTCATCAATTTTCTCTTGGCCTCCATACATATTTTGATGCCTTGCAAGTTTTACTGTCAGAAAGGCATCTCCAGTCTTTGGCAGCAGGCAGTCCTGAACGGTCCCTTATTCCATAGGTACAGCTGCAGCTCTGTGCTCTCCCAGCACTGGCTGGGCAGCAGGCAGCTCAAGCCTGGAGGCAGAAGAGCTGCAGCCATGCACGTTCCTGAGGCTGTCGTGTGTTTGCCTCGGAGGAGAACACAGTGCTGTGCTGCTTCTGGACAAGTGTTAAAGTCACATTGCCTGTTAAGGGTACAGCCAGGGGCTACACGTGGAGAATGTAGAAGCAATCCCGAGTGAGCTTGCTAGGGTTTCCTGGGAAGCCAGTGAAGATGAGGTTTTGGTATGTGGAGACAGTGCTGAACCCTCACTGGGCCCTGTGAGTAAATAGCCTTCAGTGAGAATTGTGATCTCCACTCAGGGCTGGCTGCTGCCCATGACTGAACAGAAAGATTTTCTCAAATTGTTAATCTGAGGAAAAAAAAAATAGATTTGAGGCCATAAGCAGTTAAAATAAAAGGACTAAGCCCTGACAGCAAATGGGTTTAATATACACATCTATTAATATATAAATTGTATGTCAGAGCTGTGCAAAAGTTGTTCTGTAGAATAAATGTGCAGAAAACAGTTGTCTGTCTGTACAACCCTGCTTCTATACAATGTGCAGTGGCCACACATACCTTGTCAACATACTAGTAAGTTAGATAACACTAAGAGTAATAACAGAGTGGAAAATACTACCTGCATTTCATCTGTCAGACCACAAAAAAATCACTGAATTCACTGATTAGTATAATCCATTTCCTTGCTTCATAGTTTCTAAACTCTCTCCAGGATTTTCTTACTTTAATCCAGATCATGACCTTAAGGGATGAATTTTGTCTTTGGATGCCTGAGTTATTTACCTAATACTGTCATTATAAATGCCACTCCACAATAGGGGAACTACTTTGTGCCAAATTACAGGTTCTTTGCCCTGAAAAGCTATGAGATGTATGTAAATCCATGCAAGATTGGTTTTGCTAAAGACCTGTGTACTGCAGTACAAATGCTTATTTATGCAATCAGTAGTGATTTTCATATTTTCAATTGGCTGTCATTTTAAAGGAAATTAGTACAAGTGTAGTGAAGGACCCTGAAGCTGGTAACGATGGAGAAGTAAGAAAGTCACAGGATGAGCTGCTGCTTCAAGAAGAAAGAAAGAGATAGCAAAAATGAGGCTAGTGCAGATGTCATTGATTTATAGACTTTCGTTCTTCCTTTAGTCAGGGCAGCGAGAGAAACGTGTAGAAATGAAACCAGGCCAAATGAAGACATATGTACGAGGGACAGCGTTGCCCAGGGAAACTGAGGAACTTTGAGAAGAAATTCCCGTGATTGTCTGAGCCTTAAAACTCACTTCATGTTCTCAAGCAAGTATACCCGGATGTGTACATTGCTGCACCTAAATGAATACAGCTGAACAGATCTGTACTGATAAGGTATCAGAAGCAATGGATGTGTTATTAATTCTAGCCAGGATATGGGATGAATAATGCAGACAAGCTCCTCATAAGCTCATTTCAGATGGGATATATGAAAAAATTGGTGCTTGTATTAAAATCTTTTCTCTCTCAGACTTCACTGAGCTCCTGTGGAAGGAAGAGAGCTTTGGTGAAAGACAGTGGAATTATATATCTGATCGATGGAGGCACAGTTTAGCTTGAAAAGATGGTTATAATTTTTGTTTTGCTGATCTGCATAGGAGAAAAAGGCTGTAGTTTGCCTCTTGGACCTGCAGCTGAATTGCACAACTGGAGTTTATATGAAACAGACTTTTATTTGCGTGCTTCACAACCCTCATAATCTACTAACTCTGCTATGCATATCTTCAACAGCAGAATCCATGTTTGCACATTTATTGGGTCAAACTATTTCTATCCTTTCAAGTTTGAAAAAGAAATTTAGGACAGTTCTCCTACTTATTAGCATCCTTCAAAATCAGTTATTTTGTAGCGAGCTGGATTTTAAAGTTTGTTGGCAGTACTGTGACTTGGTACTCTATTTAAGGTAACCAAGCTGGTGAAACCTTGAGAGCCTTGCTCTCATTGCACTCTGGCTTGGGGCAAGCCCATCTCAGCAGAGCATGGCTACAGTTGCTCACCAAATCAAACCTGAGGGTTGGAGCCGAGGATGAGAGACCCTTTCCCAGTGGATTCTGAGGCTTGCTCCCAGGAGCTGAGATGGGGAAGCATTTTTCAGTTTTTCAGTGCTTTGAATTTTGGTTTATGCTGCTGTGAGGACAAAGTACGTTGCATTTGTCAGGAACCTTCATCCTGGTTGCACTCTAAAGCAGACAGCTCCACAGGGTGTAAGTGTGCAAGTGCCACCACATGTCTGCTGCCTCTCCAGTTCAGTGTAGCCCAGCTTCCAGAGGAGCTCTCAAACAGAGCTGACAGAAAGTGTTTCACAGGCACCCTTGGACTGAGCACGCGTACTGTCACAGGCAGACTGAGGGCACTGAGCGATGACAGGGTGGCTGTGGCAACTCCCCTCAGGGAGCTCATCCTTAGCCCTGATGAAAACTTGCTCTCCTACCTCCCACTCTCTGAAGCACTGAGGTGGCCTGAGGCACCAAAAGCTGATGGCCACTCCACATTAATGCGTGAAGTGAGTGGTGGTAGATGGGTACTTCGGCAGTGCATTTCTTCTCTGTGCCTCCATCAGCTGTACTACCCATACCAGAACTGAACTGGCAGCAAGATCCATGGGGAAAAATGTTTTACAGATAAGAAGTGTTGATGTTCTTGTACTGACACTAACACTGGCTGATGGGTGGTTTTGCAAAATATAAATACTTTAAGGCAGAGCTGGGTGCAGCTGTGGTGGGATGGGTGTGTGCAGCAGCAAACCTCTCCTCTGTCACCACAGCATGAGGAAGATGCTTTAATTCCTGCTTATGTAGGTGACAGGTGAAAATTTAGTGTTAGGAATACACTATAGTTTTCAGTGTTGAGATCTCTCACGAGTCCTATTAAGCCAGAGGAATGATTGCAAGGACAAGTAGAACTAAAAATTATGCAAGGCTGAAGCTATAATAAAGTCAATCTCACTGTGCATAGTAAGTTTGCTTTCTTAGAAGTTAAAA